CTGCAAAATTTGCAACCCTCAAAAGAACCCACTTATACTATTGTCAGTATACATGTATCAGTATAATATTCCCCCATTACATATACTAGTATACACATGTACAGGATGATCCTGTACATGTGTATACTAGTATATGTAATGGGGGAATATTATACTGATACAAATGACATGAAATAATTACTAATTTTCCCAGAGGAAGTTCAAGTTGTATCAGATGTCATCAGTATATAGCAGTCCCACACATTTCACTGGATTAATTATTCATTTGATGAATCTTCTTTGATGTGCTTTGTTATTTTGTGTGGTCAATTTGTATCAATATTACTATTTACAATAAATCATGATTACAGCTTTGATTTCAGAAATACATCCAAATTGATACTACATTTCCTGATACACGTACATACACGTACATACTGTACATACATACTGTGGGTGTGTGTCCATTAATGTACTTATATTGCAGTTTGAGTAATCAACCTCAATTTTACATATTGATGTCCTTATGCTGTGTAGAAAGTTTGAGCCGATTCCGAAATCAATTTTTCAAGTTACGGCTATTTTTTTAAATTGGCCAAAATTTGAAAAATACCCAAGGCTATAGCCCATGGTTTTTTCCAAAAAATGGATTCAAAATCACCCCAAATTTTTATTACATTTTTTGAAACATATTGATGTCCTTGTGTTGTGTTGAAAGTTTGAGCTGATTCTGATTTCAATTTTTCAAGTTACGGCTATTTTTTTAAATTGGCCAGATTTGAAAAATACCCAAGGCTATAGCCCATGGTTTTTTCCAAAAAATGGATTCAAAATCACCCCAAATTTTTATTACATTTTTTGAAACATATTGATGTCCTTATGCTGTGTTGAAAGTTTGAGCTTATTCCGACTTCAATTTTTCAAGTTACAGCTATTTGTAAAAATTGGCAAAAATTTGATAATTACCCAAGGCTATAGCCCATGGTTTTTTCCAAAAAATGGCTCCGAAATCACCCCAAATTTTTATTACATTTTCTGATACATATTAATGTCCTTATGCTGTGTAGAAAGTTTGAGCTGATTCTGACTAAAACTTTTTGAGTTATGGCCAATTTAAAAAAATGAGCCAATGTCAGAAAAATAACATCATCAAAAAACCTCATATTTTACATAATAATAATAATAATTATTATACTTCATTTATTTATTCATTAATTTATTTATTATATTTATATATTATATTTAGGTATGTGAAACAGTGTGAGCTGTTCTTTCATAAAAGACTGATATCCTATTCCTTATTTGGTAGTGAGTGCCTCCCCTCATTACTGACACTATCAAATGATGTGGTACCTAATGTCAGACTAGCTGTGGCTAGGACCCTCTACTCTACACTAGACAATACACGTAAGTATTGGAGTAGCTATATGTCATTAGTGTAGTATGGTAGTGTATGTATATATAATTGTAGTATAGTGTGTATATGAAGCTCCTTTTATAAATTTCTGGGGAATTTCGCTTTTTTATTTTTGAGTATAACTTTAAAAGTTCGTAAAAAATCCAAATTTAATCGGAATTGGCTCAAACTTTCTACACAACATAAGAACATGTATATGCATCAGGAAAAATTATTAAACTAGAGAAATCTCTCCTTTTTATTTTTGGTAAAATTTGGTCTGTGACCCTGTACTATAGTACAGGGACTTTAACCCGATTTTGGAGTAACTTTAAAAATTTGTAAAAAATCCAAATTTGATTGGAATCAGCTCAGAATTCCTACGCAGCATAAGAACATGTATATGCATCAGGAAAACGTATTAAACCAGAGAAATCTCTCCTTTTTATTTTTGGTGAAATTTGGCCATGATCCTGTGACTTTGACCCATTTTTGAGTAACTTTAAAAATTCAATTTTAATCAGAATCAGTTCAAGTGTACATGTGTAATTGTCTATTTTAATTCTGTCTCAAGTTAACTCTCTCCCTCTCTCTCTCTCTCTCTCTCTCTCATAGAATTTATCTCTGCCAATCAATCCTTTTCTCGAGACATCAGTTCAATCATATCAAAACTAAAAGAAGATAGAGACAGAGATGTTCGCTACTACTCCGGAAATTACGAAGATATCAATAACAACACAAGGACCTCTCTCTCTCCCTCTACCCCTTCAGCTCAGCAGCTGCAACAATTTGAAAATACTCAAGAAGATACTGAATATAAACTGGATATAGCAAGTAAGAGAGAGAGAGAGAGAGAGTTGTACATGTACATGTTAAACTTGATGTTCATGTACATGTTTTGTAGTAAGTTGTGTAGTACATACATGTATGCATGTACCAGGCTTGGGGCGAAGTACTTTAAAAAGTATTTAAGTACATTACAAGTACCTGTTAGATTTTTAAAATGAGTACGAGTACAAATCCCTCATTTTTACAATTGTATTCAGTATGAGTACGAGTACTCTATTGCAGTGCTTAAGTACTACTTAAGCACTTGACCACACCCAAATAATTAATAAGTTAATTTTTAAATTAATAAATTAAATCAGATGGTTATTACATCTTATGAACTTTTCAAATCCAAACTGACCAGTGTCATAGTATGGGACCCACAGGAGGTAAATATATGTGGTTTACACTAGCTAGTATTTATTATATCAACACATTAGCATTGCATCGAAAAATGTACTTCAAAGTACTTGTAAGCACTAAAAACATACTAGTATTTAAGTACAGTACGAGTATTTGTAATTTTTGTTCAAAAGTACTTGAGTAAATACCGAGTACTTTCAAACTTGTGCTTAAGCATGCTTAAGTACGAGTACCAAAGTACTCGCCCCAAGCCTGGCATGTACATGTGTAGATCTAAAATTTTTGTGGTCAATTTTTGGGATTTTTCTTGATTTTTATAATGATGAAAATATTGATGTTCAAATTTTATGTCTTGGCTAATGTGCAAAAAATTTTATCAAATTCCATACGTTGAATTGCAAAAATTTGAGACTACAAAATATGGAGCTGTAGAATAATTGTAGCTACATGTACATGTATGCTTTTTGACAAATTTTTAAAATTAAAATGAAATAATTTTTCTTTTTTCACTTTTTCCCACTTCCTTTCTTCTCATTAGATGCTGGTAGCATATTGCAATTAACTTAATCTATTTATTTACTATTTTATTGCTCTTATTGGTATTAATATTATTATTATTATTACTATTATCATTATTACTGCTATTATTATTATTATTATTATTATTATTATTATTATTATTATTATTATTATTATTATTATTGTTATTAATACTGTGCTATTATTTTTCTGAGCCTCAGTTATTATTATTATTATTATGTTTTCCAATCTCTCCCTCCTTCTCCTCCTCTTAAAATGTTAATTAATAAAAACTGTTAATGTAGCAACAATAATCTGTAATGTACACTTTATAGACTACAAGGGAGAGAGAGAGACAGACAGACAGAGGGAGGGAGGGAGAGAAAGAGAGAGAAAGGGAGAGACAGACAGACAGACAGAGGGAAAAAGAGAGGGAGGGAGAGAGAGAGGGTGGGATGAAGACAAAGGAGTATAGTGAACAATTAATTTGTCGGAAAGGAATAAAACAGGAAAGAGAGAGAGAGAGAGAGGTACAGACAGATTAGGGAATTGATAAAGAGGAAGGTGATACACTACTGACCAGTCTAACACAATTAAGATTACTATTCTTTATTTGGTACTACAAATCATTAGTCTTGATTATATCATTACACTAATACATGTACATGTACTTAATGTCCATACAATATTTATTATACATGTACATGTATCTTTGTAGCTAGTTACTGTTCATACTGTCACTGTTGTATGATTAATGTTCCATGTCTAATTATTAATGCTAGAAGGTGGACTAAATTAAAGAGCCGTTTCATGTCTTAATATGGTAATATTGTTAAGAAGAGCATACATGGTATATACCTTACATGCACATTATTGCTCTGTTTGAATTGGAGGTAGAGTAGCAGCTGCTGCATCTACCATAAAGAGAGAGTGAGATGAGCTGTGGGAAGAGGAGGAAATTTGTTTGTCTACAAAATGACACCCAACCAGTAGATACTGTCAATACTGTACACAGTGACACTGTTAGTGCATGCATGCCTGCCGGTAGCTCTATCACACCTGGTAGTATATCATTAGTATAATGTGTGTGTATATATAAGAGGAGTATATGTACATGTACATATTGATAAATATGGTAGTCGTAAACAAGAGGGGGGAAGAGAAAGGGAGAGAAGGAGAAGGTAAGGAACAATTTAAAGGAAGAAAGAGCATGAATGAATAAATGAGAAGGAACATCGTAAACTCATTTTTATCATTATTAGATTATGTAGCTATCATTATACTATATACACTGATAATAGTAATTGGATTAGAGTATATAGCTAGTTAATAATCACAATGATAATGAACATGTACACTAGTAGTATACATTGTAAGTGACATAATAATATCTCCCTCTCTCTCTTCCTTTCTCTTACAATAACTGATGTACATGTACCTACATTAACATGACCGAGCATGATCATGTATATTAAATGACAGGTAATTGTGTATTGCTACTACAGTAACTGTTGAGTCAATTCCCCAGCTAATACCACCATTATATACACATACATGTACATGTACATATATACATTAATAAAAGGCTTGGATGCTCAGAGGATGTATTGCAGGATATGATAGAGTGTGTGCTTTTAAGTTATTCCTCAGTTTACTACTTGATCCACTTAATAAATTTGTATGTTATTTCTAGAATGGGCTAGTGGGTAATTGATTCCTTCCTTTTATCTTCTCCCTCTCCTTTTATCTTCTCCCTCTCCTTTTATCTTCTCCCTCTCCTTTTATTCTTCAGCTGATGACGCACACACACACACAAAGTTACAACCATTTTTACACCTACATGTACTTGAACCAATAAAAAATATAATTATTGCAACTAAATCTACTCCTTCCTCTCTGTATCTATCTCTACTATCTCTCAGGAGATAGTCCCAGATGAGCTGATAGAGATGTACCTAGGTATGGTGGACCTGAACAAGACCCAGAGTGTTGATGTGGACCTCCCCCTCTACTGTGCCTTCTCTTAATTAATTCACATATAATGAATACATACACCTGTAATACATGTAGATAGTACATACATACATGTAGTCATGTACAACCATGTTTTATTGTTAATTTATTAAACTTATGTTTTAGTTCATACAGACTGAGCTGGCCCTGCTATACTTTACCATGCTGGCCTGGTTTGGCCCAGCTCACTTCAGCTCAGTTTGCTTACTGTTTACACTATCAAATGAAACTGTGTTGGCCCACTTTAAACAGGGCTGGCTCAGTTAAAGAAGCCAGTGTAAAGTAATATTAGTACTTACTCAGATGCCCACGTTTTGTGAGTCAAACAACTTTGTGGAACAACAGTTGTGGCACAACCCATTCATACTACATGTAAGTGTTAGAGTAAATGAAAGGGATTTGCAACGGGGCATAGCAACAGGAAATGCTGGTTGAGTTACCACGTGACAACCATCATCTCCTCCATTCATGAAGTTGTGCTGCAAGGATTTCAAATGAAATTTGTGTCACTCTAGGACACAAGTTTCATTTACTCTATTATCTATGGGTGAATGGATAGGTACACCCAGTGATAATCATCAATTGTATGCTAGCATTTAGTACTGTCTCTGTGCTGTTAGTATTATTAATCTTGTGCTACTAACAAAACTTACAAAGTATACTGTAGTGTACGCTAACAAATAAACACTTCAAATTTTTAGGCAGCAAAAAGCCAAAATATCCTACTGTACATGTAAATCTAAACTGTCACACAATAAGTGATGTACTAAACATGCATCTACTATGTACTCCACTTCGTATTTGTAATGCTGTCTCCTACTGAATATTCATCCCTTGAAGGAAATCTTCTTGTACTACTGATATCTGATACTGCATGAGATCCACTTGTGTCTGACCTTCGTGGAGATACTGTTGAATCTGCACGGCTAGCATCTTCCATAAACAATCCAGATATTTTCCTCTTTGCATATCGTAATTGTTGTGTTCCGCATTATATTCTCAACAAAATGTTATTAGAAAAAGTAGCAATCACTCTACTCTAGGAACACAACTAATGATAATTAATTCCCTATTACTTAATAATAAATAACACATACATAATTAATAATAGTATTAATAATAATAATATTAATAATAGACTAATAGTAATATTTAGTTTACCACAGCATTGCTGAATCTTCATCTCTTAAAGGAAATCTTCTTGTACTACTGATATCTGATACTGCATGAGATCTACTGGTGTCTGACCTTCGTGGAGATACTGTTGAATGTGCACGGCCAGCATCTTCCATAAGTAATACTGATATTTCCTCAGTTGTTGCATAAGATAATGCAGTTTTGCTTTCATTAGATTTAATAGTTGGGTCAGTTTTCCATTCTAATAATAATTGAACTATTTTATAATGTCCATTAAAGCTAGCAGCCATTAAAGCAGTATAACCATGTTTGTTTTGAGCATTAGGATCAACTTGTTCATTCAACAACAGTTTAACTATTTGAGTGTGACCATTCATACAAGCCACCATTAAAGCATTCACTCCATCTTCTCGCTGATATTTATAATCAACTCCTTTACTGATCAATAGCTGAACAACCTCATAGTTACCAACATAACTAGCAATTATTACAGCATTTGATCCAGCTGATGCCTTCAGGTGAGGGTTAGCATTAGCTTGTAGTAACATGTGAATGATTGAAATGTGATTATATTTACTTGCCATCATTAGTGCAGTCCATCCTTTATTGTCCTGAATGTTAACATTAGCTCCAGCAATCAGTAAACTGTGTACAATGTCCTCATGTCCTCTTTCACAAGCTAACATTAGTGCTGTCTTGCCTTCTTCATTAGTATGATCAATATTAACAGTTTCTAGTTGAAGAAGAAACTCTACTGCTTCATTATTACCAGCTGTGACTGCCTCAAGGAGAGCTAGTTCAAAGGTGAAGTTCATATTCTCATCTTCTTGAAGGACAGGATGATCATTGATGTATAAACTAAATATACCAATGAGACGCATAAACTTTAACTTTCTTCTAGTATATAGTATTAAACTAGCAGCTGTAAAGTCAAGAATATGTAACTTGATAATGACAGATCCAGGAAATATTTCAATATACTCAATAATTGATTGTTTGTACTTTTGCGGCAAAAACTTTTCAATTAGTTTATATAATCCTCTTATGCTTGTGTGATTCCAGAACGTTTGAAGGTGTATGTGAATGCAAGGGAAATCGTCCATGTTTCTATCAAACGGCTTAAAGTGTTCCTGTAGGATTTTTCTGAGGTCAGAAACTGCGTTTGATGTGCACAGTCTCTTACTCATTAGTGTGTGGCTGTGTAATTCATCAACTAGTATGTAAGTTACTCCATCATCAGTGAATGTTACGTATGGAAGGAACTTTTTACTCATGTCCAGTAACAGTTTACAATCAATAAAGTCATAATAAGGTCGGATTTTTTTTAAAATGTCATCTAAATTGTTATTTACTGAGCTGTGTTCCCACTCCATGTGTACTACAAGCCACTTAGATACATCAGTAGCTAGTTGACTATTGTGATTAAATTTTTCTTCCAAATTTGTTTCAAAAATTGTAGTTAAATTTGAAAACCTCTGATATAAATCATCTAAAGACTTATAAACTTTCTTTTCACTTGCTATGATTCTAAAAGGTTTGGTTATGTCATGATAAGTACCACCTATTAATGTATGAATGGTTTTTGTCATTGTTACTCAAAGTAAAATAGATCTCATATTTTAAACATGCATGCAGCAGTAGGTTATACAGCACCCAACCTCACCAACATTACCTGCACTGGTGGAGGATGATTGAGGTGCTGGTAGTGATGATTTAGAGAGATCATCACTGACCGATATACCTTGACTGGCATTTTGAATCAATCCTATTTATGATACATTATTATTTTATACTTCATAACTATCTTCTTAATGTACCTATATATTCCAGAAGGTTAGATTTTGCTCTGCCCAGATGACCATATCCAGAAAAGCTATCACACAGTTTTATTAATGTATCCCAATTGACATCTCTATCAGCATCAAACCACCTCTGGAATACTAATTGAAGTCTG